AGAGGAGAGCAAAAGCCACACACGCATATGGCAGGTATTGCAGTGGTACTGGTGAGAAGCAGGCTTTTGTACAGTTATGGGGTATGTTTCTGCCCTGGAGTGGTTCTAAACTCCCCCCTGGGCCTCCCTGGGTCTAACATAAATAATTTGGTCTGTTTTAGAGATGTGATTGCTTTAATAATTATGTCACTAAATTACATCAGAAAAAAAAGTGTAATTATGTATGTATCATTAAGAATAGAAATAACATAGGTACACTTTTGGTGAATGAGCTAGTTCTTTTAATATCAGTTTTATGCTTCAGTAAAATTCTGTTGTAGCAAAGTCATCCAATTATAATTTGATTATTTTGGGGGTTTGTGAATCCCTCTCCTCATTATTATTAACTTTCACTGAATTTGTATTATAATTAAATTACTATTTTGCAGCATTCACAAAAATTTGCCTTAAGTTTCTTTTACCCCTTATTTAGCATTTAGAACCCTTTTCCCCACCTTTTGTGAGTATGTATATTTGGGAATGTTTTAAAGTTATTTTTTTTCTCTTTAAAGATTGTTAGAAAACTTTGTTGCTTTCTTTATAAATTAAATGAACTATTTTTATCAATATAATTGAATTGAGAGTATCTTTATCCCTAAATGTTGAATCAGATTATTAGCCTTCTAATCTCATAACTGTGTAGTTGTAATAACAAAAGCTTTGTGATTTTTTAGCCTTAGTTTAGCATTGCTTGGGAAATTCTGTGATATATCCTTAAGTTTCCTTTACATATATTATACCCTTATTTCCTTATTCTTAATTAGTGTCTTTTTCAGTTTCATAAGATTAGTCTCTCCTAATTCTAAGAGAGGGAGGGAAGGGGAGAGATGAAATGGAAAGAGAAAGAGAGAAAGAGGGAGACCATGGAGGTGAGGGATAAGAGGGATAGAGAGAAGCAGAGAGAGGCTTTATATTTTCTACCTTTTATCATGCTGACATTTCTATGTGTGTACTCTTGATATCTTTTACAGGAATCTTGTTCATTTGGTATCCATTTAACTTCCTGTGTTTGCTAACTTATTCCACCTTACACTTAGCCATAAAAAAATTGCCATCAAAACTTGCTTTATTCTTTGATGTTAAAAATACCCTGTTATTAATTTTTTCTCAATTCTGCTTTTTAGTAACAACTCAATGTCAAGAAATTTCCTTAGCTTCATTGGTTTGAGAATTTACTTAATACAGTTTAACTGACCTCTTACTGACTCAACTATATTCTCATATGTTCCACCCTATTAAAACTTTAATTTGGGCCCTCGCTGGTGGCGCAGCGGGTTATAAAGCACATCACTGAGAATCTAAAGCCACTTCCGCATGAGTTCGATTCCCGCCTGCCACAGAGGTGACCACATGGTGCAGCAGACCTCTCCTGACCCGCTCGCTGCTCCCCTCAGCAGTGTACTTCGTCGATCTGCCTGTCGATCTGCCTGTTCTGTACCCCACTCTGTCTCTGGTGAAGCCTCTCACCACCCCTGAGCCTCTGGCCTGTACCCCAGTTCTGTATGCACAAATAAATAAATCTTAAAAACAAACAAACAAAAACTTTAATTTGACTTGTTTGTGATACAAAATCATATACTGTTGACTACTTATTCCCTTAAAAGTTAATTTTTTAATCAAGGATTAATGTAATTTTTTTTAAAAGATTTATTCATTTATTCATACAGAACTGGGGTACAAGCCAGAAATGCAGAAGGTGAGAGGATTCACCAGGGACAGAGTGGGGAGCAGAACAGGCAGATCGACGAAGTACACTGCTGAGGGGAGCAGCGGGCGGGTCAGGAGAGGTCTGCCACGCCATGTGGTCACCTCTGGGGCAGGCAGGGATTGAACTCATGTTGAAGTGGCTTTAGCTTCTTAGTGCTGTGCTTTAACCCCCTGCGCCACCAGGGAGGGGCTTGATTAATGTAATTTTAATAGTCAAATAGTGTACTCTGAAATACTAGAACAACACAGAATTCTTTTTTTACCTCTTCCATTGCCTGATATCTGTAACCCAGAGGCAGTTACTTGGGACTCTCTGCTTCTTTCTTGTACTTAAATTAACACATTTACATTTCTATTTCTATTACACTGATTGTTTAGACATACAGTAGTTTCAAACTGTTTTCTATACCTCTTACTTTGATTTCTTTAGATGTAGATTTAAGTTTTCAGCTAAAAATTATTTCTGTTCACTTAATTATTTTTAGCAGAGTATCCTTTGAGTTATATTTTTGATTATTGAAGGGTGGAAATGTATTCCTCGTATGCTAGATGAAAAAAGAAACAAATGTTAGCTAGACAAATTTGCATCCTTTTAGTCTTAACCATACTCTCATGCAGTCTTTTATTTTCATACTCACTGGCCATCTTTCTTTTCCTTGATCTTTGTACTTCTTGCCCCTTCTGATGGAAATAACCTGTATCATCCTTAAATTTATATGGTAAAAGATTACCACCCCCCTTCCCCAGTGTAATGATTTTAGGAGGTAGGCCTGTGGGAAATAAATAGGAGTAGATGAAATCATGGGGGCTCCACCCTCATAGATAGGATGAATTCCCTTCTAAGAGTGCATAGAGAGCGGCTTCTCTCTATGTGAATAGAGAAGACAGCTCTGTGTGAAACAGAAACTAGGCCTTATCAGATACCTAATCATCGAGCTTTCATTTTGTTTTCTTCTAAGAGCTTAAAAATTTTAGCTGTTACATTTTGGTCTTTGATCCTTTTTGAGTTAATTTTTGTTTGTAATGTTATGGGCCAAGTTCATTGTTTTGCATGTGGATATTCAGTCTCCTCCCTCCCATTTGTTAACATGACTTTCTTTTCCTTATTAAATGATCTTGGTTGGCACCTTACTGAGTATCATTAATCTATATGCAAGAATGTATTTTTGTTTGTAGGCAGACTGATGGATTCTGCCATCTGCTGAAGCATACTGTTAGTGAGTAAAAGCTTGAATAGAAAAGAACTTTAATGCAATTAGTGTGCAGTAGAAGAAGAGAAAGTATATAGTTAAAATAGGTACCCCACTAAACACTCAAAATTTCACATATCTTTGTTCCAAGTGGGGTAACTGAGGCCCAAAACTTGCTACAAGTCTAAGGCACCTTCTGGTGGAGAAACCCTAGCAAAGGAGTAAAAGGAGCCAGACAAGTCTGGAAAGAAATAGTAAAATAAAAATACAAGTCAGGATAAAGGCTGCCTGTGTCAGCCTCGTCATGGGTGTTTTACCTGTCTTTGTCTCTTTCAGGTCCCCCAAATCTCTGGTACAAGTACAAGATTGAGAAGCATGCTTGGCTTTTTCTTTTCATGTACTTCCTCCACATCTTCATTTTCTTCTTCCCTTTCTTCCTTCTCCAGTCTGTTTCTGGCAACTCTTTCCCACTCTTCCTTGGGTGGAGCAGGGACCCTGAAACCTCTCCTTTCTTTGGATATCAGACTCTTGCATTTTGGCTTTGTGTTCTATTCTGTTGGAATTGTTACTGTCTTTTTGAAAGATCAACGTTGGGTTATTATAGCTTTGATTTAATTTTTGAAATTAGGTAATTTGAGTCCTCTATCTTTAGTTCTCCATTTTTGAAATATTGTTTTGGCTACTTAGGGTTGTTTAATTTCTAATGAATTTGGAATGGTTTTTGTATTTTTGTAGAGTAGTCATTGGGGTTGTGATGGGAATCCCATTGCTTCTGAATCATTTTGAGTATTATTGACATCTTAACGAATTAAGTCTTCTAGTGTTTGGACATAGTATGTCTTTTTATTTATTTGTGTTCTTTTTTTTTTAAAGATTTATTTATTTGTGCATACAGAATTGGGGTACAGGCCAGAGGTGCAGGAGCAGTGAGAGGCAGTTCACCAGAGACAGAGTGGGGAGCAGAACAGGCAGATCAACAAAGTACACTGCTGAGAGGAGCAGCGGGCCGGTCAGGAGAGGTCTGCTGCGCCATGTAGTCACCTCCCGGGCTGGCAGGGATGGAACTCATGCTGAAGTGGCTTTAGCTTCATTAGTGCAGTGCTTTAACCCGCTGCGCCACCAGGGAAGGCCCTATTTGTGTTCTTTAATTGCTTTCTTCTGTGGTTTATAATTTTAAGTGTATGAGTTTTTGTTTCTCTGACTGTTCTTAAGTTATTTTTTAATTTTATGCTCAATGCTATTTAAGATGGAATTCTTACTTTCCTTTTAATATTGTTCATTGTGGGCCCTCCCTGGTGGCACAGTGGGTTAAAGCACAACACTATGAAGGAAGCTATAGCAGCCACTGCAGTCCAAGTTCATTCCTCAGCCATGGAGGTGACCCATTGCATGGCAGACATCTCCTGTCTCACCTGCTGTTCCCCTCAGCAGTGTATTTCAGTAGGGGCCTGTTCTGCTCCCTACTCTGTTTCTGGTGAATCCTATCACCGCCCCCCCCACCTTGGCCTGTACCCCAGTTCTTATATGCATAACTAAATAAATCTTTAAAAAATATTGTTCATTGTTAGTATATAGAAACAATAACATTTTGTAGACATTATTAATATATGACATCACTGCATTATATCAACTATCAGTATTTCAATAATAGTCAAATGATTTGAACTGAATTCAAATGGAAACTAAAAATAGTAAAGAACTAAGAATACAGTATCATTTCTGAATTGAATATATTATTGTGTTTTCATTTCGTCTTTGTTAAACATCCTAAGCTTTATATTTGTTTATTTTACTGTACTAATTTAAAATTATAGATCTGAAAGAATATCAGCAGTTCGGAATTATTTTTGAAACAATTGAGTTTGAACCCTCATAAACCTTTCCATTCTGAAAATAATATTTCTGGAGTATAATTTAAAACTTATTGCTCTTATTTTTGGCTTATTGATACTCCTATAGAAATTAATGGAATTGTAATAATTTAGAATGTTTTCACATTTCAGGGGGATAAGGTTGAGTAAGGTGATCGATGACATGTATTTCTTTATTTTTTTTAATTTACAGGCCACAGAAACATTATTTAGAATGTGTGTAGCAAGAGGAATCATCACCACAATAAGAAATGGAGAAGTAAGATGAAATTTTTGATATAATTATTAGTTCTTATTTCATAGTATATAGTTTTTAAAATATATAACATGGTGAATTCTATGATACTTTTCATAGCAAATTGAAAAATACCTAATATCCATAATATTAAGTGGATCTGGCCTGTAAATCTATTTTAGTTTAGTTATATTCAATCAGATTTTGGGATTTAAATAAATTGTGGAAAATTTAAACTTTGTTCACCTATTGTTTTTACTCTTAAAATAACATTGTATTTAATAATAACATATGCAATAATATATATATTGCTAAAAATAACCCTATACTTTTCCCTTTCTTCCTATTCTACAGATCTAATTATTCTCGTAAAGGATAAAATAATTTGAAATGTTGATAGTTACAGGGTGGGGGGAGGAACAGTGAAATTTAGTATGTTCTTTCTTGTAGTTGATGTTATAAATTCTAAGTTTTAACTTTTGCAAATGCTCTTACCAGTTGTTAAACAACAAAAATTCTACTACCTGAAAGAAGTTTGTACTGTAAAATTATTACCAATCTTTTTTTTTATTTCCTTACCAAGACATACTTGTTTCAGGTTTAATATAATGTCATATTGCTGTGTTTCCTTTACTACTCTACTATTCTTAAAAGAAAAAAAAATACAGTATTTCTTATTCTGGAATGAAATTCTATATAATTTAAAGTAATATTTGTAGTTTTGTAACCTAAGTATTTAATAGTAGAAATTAGTGAATATTTAAGGAGTTATCCAAAATTGTATTATTGTATAACTGTTATATTGCATAATTGTATAAAATTTATCAGTTGACATATTTGTTCCTTAGATGAAAATGTGTAATCATTAATTACATATGCTTAAAAGTTTAAATACATATTGCCAGATCACTTTAGTATTTATATAAAATATTATTTTATCTATGAAAAATATATAATTGAACCCTTTGTATTCTCAACAAACTGCAGTATGTAGTGTCATTTTGAGAAAAGAAAACATTTCTATTTAATAAGATCAGTCATATTTATTTACCTAGAATATGTCAAAGTGAATTTCAGGTTTTACTAATTACTATATATTTTCTCAGAGGAACAATGCACTTTTGAACTTTATCTTAGATGATAAGAAGGTTGGGGAATGTATACAGGGTAGTTTTTTAAAATAATCTGACTGTATCAGTACACATTGGAGATATGTATACTTTATGTAGACTTATTTCTGCTTAGTTGTTTTAAGAAATGTTGAGATTAGAAAACCTGGTTCCCCTCTCTGAAAGTAAGCAGATAGTTCTTGAAGGATTTTGAGATTTAATTTTTAGTTATATGCATCATTGGAGGATTTAAGCAGAGAAGTGACACATTGTTTTTTTAATCCTTAGTGACAACTCTGCTAGGGAGAAATCATGTTGATTGCATAGATGAACTGACTCTCAGAGGAATTAAACATTTTGCCATTTTACCTTTAATCAAACAGCTAAGAAATGATTCTACTAGAATTTGAAGTTATCTGACTCCAAAGTCCATTGATTCCACTATGTAATAAATATTTCCTTAGTGTAAACTAGAGTTTATGGGTCATTCACTAGATCTATGTTTGCAAATTGAAAAATAGCATAGTAGCTAGACTTCCAAGGCTCTATTAGCAGCCATTGTTTTTATGGAGTCTGAATATGTTATTTTCTCATATTGGTACAGTAGAAAATACATGGCTTAAAATGATTAGGAAAGTAGTACTGACCTTTCACAATTTTTTTTGTTACATATTGAATGCCTGATTATATTTATGTGTTCTTTGTAAAATACTGCAAATGGATTAACTGGATTTCTGTGTTAATCCATTAATTACTTAAACAAGAAACAAGATAAAATTTTCTTCTGGGTAGAATATTACATAATGGGCTCATTTGTGAGGGTGGACAGGGAGGCTTTTAAAATAACTGTCAGTAAATAGTTAATGGATATGCTTGAATCAAATGTTATACTTTTATAATTTCTTCAGGAATTAGTATTATCCTGTCTTCATCCTTTTAGGAAGTTTATGTGTAGCATGAAATAAATATTTTGTTAAAAGACAAAGTTAATCTCTTAATTATGTATTTATAAAATTATGTGTTGTTCTTTTACATAATGAGATAAGTTATTATTTTTAGTTTTTATTAGTGTTTCCCACTTTGTTATTCTTAGTTTAAAATTTTGAAAGAGAGCAAAGTCTTAATTATAATCCTTACAGTCTGTTTACCAGCTGACAGTATTGATCCACTGCTTACAATATTGATTAGGAAAGTATAATGAAGAAGGCATATTTAATTACACTTCCATAAAGTTGAATTGTTCGTATAAGTCTCTGTAGTATCACATTTACAGTTTTGGAGAGTTTCATGAATGGAAGGAGAAATAATCTACCCCTTCACCCAACAATTATTTATTCAGCACCTTCTGTGTTCCTGGCATTGTTTTAGGTGGCTTTAATCCATCAGTGAATAGAAAAGACAAATTATTTTTGCCTGTGGGTTGCTTGTAGTCTAGTTCATTAATAACTTATGCTCTAATTAAGGAAAAAATAAAGGAATACAAAGGAACTAGGAAGTAAATACAACTACAAAACTTCAAAAGAAGGTGTAAGCAGTATAAAGGTTTAAAAGTACAAGTAATTTAAGTAATGGAGGTAGAAACAAGTAATTGCAGTAGGGTTAAGTTAGGTCAGAAAATTTATTTGGAGACACATCTTAAACTGAGCCTTGAAGAAATTTATGAGAATTATTGAAGAAAAAAATAAAAAGACACTGCTAATTAGATATTCTGTAAGTTTTATTAGAATGGAAAACTTTTGCTTTACTGGTGTATTTTCGAAAGGACTTAGAATATGTCGATTTAGTGTGATTGCTGCAGTGAGAGTAGGTGTTCCTTGTTATGGATTTCTGTTTCCTCAGATTTAACACCTGCTTAACTCTAAGTACTTCAGTATATGTCTGATGAACAGGTAATGGAAATATTTCCAAAGAACTTTTGTGGCACGTTCATTTTGATTTAATAACTCTTAATTTAGATAAATATAGCCTTAATTATATTTATAGAGATATATGTGTATAAGTATAAATGTTAGTGTAATAATAGTTCAAAATCATGAAGATTATAATAAAATGATGTATTTGTTGACATCAAGTTTTCCCATAAATTAAGGATTATTTAAAAGACTAAAATTAATATATTTGATATCCATACTTTTTTATGAAATTACTTGATTAATTAAATATTAATGTACAGTTCCAACACTGTTGAACTTGCATTGAAAACTTGTGTTTCATAAAATATGTAGAGATTTTCTTGTACATGAATTTTTTATTTAAAGAAATTTAGAAGTAACTTTCATACACATATATTTTTAAAATTATATATATTTTTTCTTATTAAATGTTTTGTTAATTTTTTATTTCTCTTTCAATACCACTTTTGGAAATATGTTAGTTTTTCATAACAAAGTATTATTATTTCAAATAGTAATAATTCTGAGACCTGATGCCTATCAGAATGCCATAACTAAGACTTGTAAATCTAATCAAAATGAGTAAGTATTTAGTGATAGCATTTTTATGAAAATGTGACACAAAGCACTGGGATCAATTCTGGTGTCTTTTACTAAAAACCAATTAGCACCTGTGCTACGTGCTATCCCAGATACTGGGTTTAACTGTAAGATTAATGTAGTTTCTGCTCAGCAAACTTTGTAGTTTACTAGCTAAGCCCATAACCGCTAGAGTACTTCCACTCAGTATCTTTTTCTGTAAGCAGGGATAAAAGTATTCACTTCATCAGCATTGCTTTGTGAGGAATAAATTACATAACTATATATAAAGCAGTGATTATAAACATCCCCCACATAGTAATAAACCTAATAGAACTTAACCTAAAGGATAACTTCTTTTATTTAATGGATTGTATTTATTTTTAATGATGTGAAATGAGAGTTGATATCAAAGGACAGATTATAGATGTTTTGAATCCATAGCTAAATTGATTGTGTTCTTGGTACTTTAAAATTATCATTTCCTATAAATGAGACTGAAGGTATATCGGTCAGCTTATTATGAGTGCCCTCTGCTGTCCAGTGACAATAACCTCAACGTGTGTGTGTGTATACACACACACACATACACATACACACACACACAGAATATATACTTACTTATTAGTTTGTGGAATACTTTGTAACCAAATTCTGCTGATCTGTAGATACAGTAAAGGAAAGTACAGTGGTGGCTAAAGTGACATATACAACAAAAGAAACCTATTAGCCATGCAGGGAAAAGTCATTTATTATACATGGAAACAGTTCTTTTGATAATTTCAAGTCTTAGTCTTAGTTGGGCAAACATTACCCTAAGAATGGGGAGACACTGGTCCAGTTGTCCAGTAGGTACTTTACAACTGTCTGTTGCCATTGAAATGTAACCTTTGTTAATTAGATTAACTTCCTCTCATTCCCCCTTATCATAAACCAGGGGAGAGGTGGAATTCTGACTATTCTAGAATCCCTAGTATTTTTGAAGTTTATTGTATTTTTGTTCTGGGAATAATTTCCACATTGTATTTACATTGGTAGTCTCTATAAATAATGTATTAGCCTAGAAAAATTATTAGTTTCCTTTCAAGCAATACGCAAGATATAGATTAAAAAAAAAAGACACATGGGGAAATGGATATATTCAAAGAATGAGAGAAAACTTAAGTGTAGAAAATTATATCTAGAGAGAATTTTTAAGAACTATGGAGTATTATAGTAAGCATGGTATATACACGATAGATTCAAACTTATCTCTAATGTGTTGGGAAAAAATGAATTTTGGTTGCAGAACAAAAAGTTTGAGATAAGTGGAACTGCCAGTCATCACTTAGGGTTGATGAAACACTGAGAGATATTTTGTAAAACAAAGAAGTGGGAATTGCTATTTTGCTCAATTTAAAATGCTGTATTTTTTAAAAAAAAATTATTTTCTTACATTATTTTA